ATTAACATTAAAATAAAACAAATATCAATTGCTATTACACACCTTTTATTGAAATATTTTTATAAAGGGCATCCGGACAACTATTCTTGAATAAATGAATCACCACTCTTTACATAATACATTACTATTATTTAAGATAAGTGTCGTGCAGACAGTTGGAACAAGGTCAGATGTGCCATTCATTCCCAATCTTACTTCATTTCATTTAATTATAAAACAGATAAGAAGTGTTAAATCCAAGATAAACATTTACTAGCCTTTAATCTAAGACAACGGTGAATTAGAATGCCACGTGTTTATGATAATCATACCTTGTGATATACCTCCAAGTATAAAATAATAACCTCAATTAAGCGGTTTTTCTAGATATGCTATCATATACCCACCTATTTAGCCTGATTTAAACAATGTCTTAAGTTTATCAGAAACTTCGTTAGCCACATAAGTTATTCAATAACAATTATGCAGTATTTGCCACCATGACGTTGATTGCATATTGGTATACTTTATATATAAATGTGCAACGAGTTTACATAGTCAGGTTAATACACATTTTATTGCATGACCACGTGATGTAAAGATTAAGTACATTTGGTGTAAAATTTGAAGATGTAAGGAGTTATTTAATGTTCGTGATGATTAGTAGTGGAGTACGATCCTGATCAGCTATAATGTCATATGCACGTGCAGAGTCATACCGAATTCTAGGACTATGATAATTAACATATTTTCAACGAATGTAGAATTTAAATTATGTAAATAAATTTAGAGATTAAACTACATTTCAGGATTATTTCAACGACTACTCATTCGACATATAGAAACACAATTTAATAAAAATTATGTTGCACTTGATAAGAAGCATTCTAAGTTAGTTGAAAGGTATCAATGCCTTTCTTTCGGATTTTTCAGGGTTTTTCAGCATTTCTTCAGGATATGGTACGCTAAATATAGTTTCCGGTATATTTAGGTGTAGAAAAAACTGCCAAACCAGGGAAAGCTACTGGAAAGCTTGCTTGCATGCTGAAATTGTCTGAGGAAAGAATCATACTCACTTGAACATGTTAAATAACGGTAACCTGTACAGGCAAACTCTTTAGATCACTCTAGCGGCCATCGGTTACAGCACAGAAAGATCTGTACCCAGCTGTTTTGTGCATTTACATTCAGTCATATATATATATATATATATATATATATATATATATATATATATATATATATATATATATATATATATATATATATATATATATATCTTTATTTTTATATATATATATATATATATATATATATATATATATATATATATATATATATATATATATCTTTATTTATCATATATATATATATATATATATATATATATATATATATATATATATATATATATCTATATATATCTGTATTTATCATCTATATATATATATATATATATATATATATATATATATATATATATATATATATATATATATATATATATATATATATATATAAAAGATATAGAAACAACTGCCAAACCAGGAGAAGCTACTGCAAGGGTTGCTTGCATGTTGAAATTATCTGATGAAAGACTCGAAACAACTGGAACAGGCAAGATTACAAAAATCTTTACAGGCAAACTCTTTAGATCACTCAAGCGGCCATTGTTTCCAGCACAAAACGATCTGTAGCAGGCTGTTTTGTGCATTTACATTCAGTCACAAACATATATTTCTTATTTATGATAGAAACCGAAAGCTTTACTTACTTCAGTTTCAATTCAAATAGTTTTAAATTCGTCTTGCATTGAGCAACAACCACAAGTGAAACCCTACACTAAACTAAATAAATATGGAGAAAATAAGAATGAAAATGACAAACAAAGAATCCAAATTGAGTGTCACAATTATAATTAGCAGATGGAAAATTTCATTAAAAATATCAGTTAAATTAGGGAAAGATTAAAATAATTGTTTCAAAAGCACACAGAAAGAAATACATCTAACCATTGCCAGCACAGGAGTATAGATATTTAACAATGTCCTGCTGTTACCAATAATTCAAACAAAGCAAATAATACTATATATATAGTTCAATATAAACAATACTATCATACAGGTTAGAGAAGTTAAATTCGTACTCTACGGAGTTTCGAAACCAGGTCCCAGGTTATAACTTTGTTATTACATATAGTTGTGTTAGATAAGATTATTTCATTTCATCTGTTCAAATATTGTCCTGATTAATTTCATCTGTATAAGGGAATGATATAAATAAGCATTAAGTCTAATTTTGTCAAGACACTTTCTTATTTGCTTTTTCATTTTCAGCAAAAGGAGTAATAAAATACTTCACATTTGTTGTATATATCTTACATCATTACCGATCTCAAAAAATGGCGGTATGAGCATTTGAGCAGACCAACAAATAATATATCTTTACAAAAAGTTTTAAAAGAAAATAAACCTATGTAAACGGAAATATTATTTGAGTAATAAATGTAACTAACAAAATGGTCGAGCATTTATGATTTGTAGGAATACATGAGTAACGCGGAGATGACTTCTGCATCTCATAGTGTTGATCGTTCGTTGACCTTTTGAATCATTGGTTAGAAGCAACCACATAATTTATTCAAATTTGTAGCCGTTGAAAGATAACGGCACTATATAAGATGCACAAAGATGTCAAATGTGAACATACAGAAATGCACTATAAGCATTTATGTACGGTACGTGTCATTAGGACTATAATATTCATTAATATATATTGCATTTACAATTTTTTTTTTATTTAGTTGCTGGGAATTAGACTACAAAGTCCGTTCCCTTTATACATTATCCAAATTGGACGTACTGCGACATTTCCAATCTCATGCATGCTTTAGGAGCCTTGGTCCTGTAAAATAAAAAGAGTGCTTTAATTTACCATTTTGATTTTTAAAAACCTTTCATAGCATATATTCTACGTTTACAAGGATGTAAAATAATTGCAGGAATCCTAATCATCATCCAGATGATTATAATCTAATAGATATGAAAGATTAACGTTCCACTTATTAATTTATTATAATCTAATAGATATGAAAGTTAAACGTTCCACTTGTTAATTTATTATAATCTAATAGATATGAAACTTAAACGTTCCACTTATTAATTTAATATAATCTAACTTATATGATAGTTAAACGTTCCACTTATTAATTTATTATAATCTAATAGATATCAAAGTCTAACATTCCACTTATTAATTTATTATAATCTAAAAGACATGAAAGTTACACGTTCCACTTAATAATTTATTATGATCTAATAGATATGAAAGTCTAACATTCCACTTATTAATTTATTATAATCTAATAGATATGAAAGTTAAACGTTCCACTTATTAACCTATTATAATCTAATATATATATATATGAAAGTTAAACGCTCGACTAATTAATTTATTATAATCTAATAGATATGAAAGTCTAACGCACGTTCCACTTATTAATTTATTACAATCTAATATATGTGAAAGTCTAACGTTCCACTTATTAATTTATTATAATCTAATAGATATGAAAGTCTAACGTTCCACATATTAATTTATCATAATCTAATATATATGAAAGTCTAACGTTCCACTTATTAATTTATTATAATCTAATAGATATGAAAATTAAACGTTTCACGTATTAACAGCTCAATTTAAGACCCTATGTCATAAATTTAACTAAATCTTAATGAATGTTGTTTTTCGTACTTGTTTGCTTGTTTGCTGCTTAACTCAACATAAACACATAAGACGTTACATTGTGTATACCAAAGTTCCTTAACAATGTGTTTAGTACTTATATGCTGTTTAACTGAACATAAGCACGTGAAAGGATGTACTATATAGAACAAAATTCCCTGTCAATGTAGCTCATATTTGTTGCGTATCCTACCTGGCCAGAAATGAATTTAAACATACAGCTTATGAATTTTTCGAGTTTGACAGTGTAAGAACTGTTGGCTCCAACTCACCTAATTCTAATGCTTGGAAACACACCTTCCATCAATGCACCACTTAAAAAAAAAAAATATATATATATATATATATATATATATATATATATATATATATATATATATATATATATATATATATATATATATATATAGAGAGAGAGAGAGAGAGAGAGAGAGAGAGAGAGGGGGGTATTGTTATATATAGTTATATATACAGTTATATATGTATGTATGTGTGTGTGTATTAGAAAGCATTCTTTCAGAATTCCTTCCCTTTTCTGTAAACTGGTTCTTAATGTATTAACTGTCAAAAGGTTCACGTGCAAGCTAACAAACCAGATTCTAAATCATCATGGCATGTTTTGCTGTCTTTATTATTTCACAATTAGCAATCATTTTCTCTAAATGTATAACGTATCCATCACATGGAATTTCCTTTTGCTGGAAAATACCATCAGAAAATCAGACAAATTAGATTGTGGAAATTTAGAAACCATTTTCATTTCTCTCGAGAAAAATGGGACATAAATTACCTTATGTAATCCACAATCGGTTCCTCTAGCTGCAATATAATATCTCTTTTTGCAAATGCGTGTTTTAGGCTCCGTACATCTCATGAAAAGGCATATCTTTTCCATAGGAGTCTTGAATAAATAGAATATAAAATTAAGTATAGCTTGAAGTGTCTGAGTTCACATAACCAGCCACAAAGTCGAATCTTTTAGTCTAGAGAAATGTTTTTTTTTAGGATTGCAAAACTCACAATGCAGATTCTATTCACGATGTGTGTGTCTGTATTTGTGCGTGTGTGTGTGCTTAACATGGAATATTAAAGTAGCTTAACAATTTTTCAGTCATATGGTTATGATGTTTGCATTGTTTCAGTTTAGAGTAATATCTAATATTGTGGCATCATTTTGCAGGCATGTAGCATGATGTCCCACCCAGTCACATTGTCATGACACCATGGTTAGAACCAAACGAGGCAGCTGTTAGTACGATTTTTATAAGTCTTTGGTATGACTCGGCCGGGGATCGAAGCAAAAACCTCCCACATCCAAGGCGGACGCTCTAACCACTGAGCCACCGGAAAGATCACTGTACCAGATGACTGTATGTAAGGTATGTGACCATTTCCTGTAACATTTGGTAAACAGTCTATATAACTTATGTTGCTCTTGGGAAAAGGATATACTCAAATTATTCCATTTTGCGTCATGATGGCGGGAGGAATAGGTATCTCTGTTTCTTTGTTGCTTTGTTTTTAACTGGATTTTACTATAATGTTTATTTGAAGCTCTACTAAACAAATTTTCTGAACATCCGATTTTCAACGAGTCATCAACACATTATTTGATGATGTGCGACTAAACACCGTTTCTGACACAACTCCCTTTAGAATTTTTCTCCATGTTGAAATTTTAATTCGAAACAGCTACCATAGTGGATCAGATTCGTGCTAAACTGTTAAAAGCTGGCGCACCAATCCTTGTAGGTCATACTGTAAAACGTATTTTGGTTGGTTTCAGATTCCGTGGTTTGGATAAAGGCCGGTGATTCAAAATAGGATAAGAGGTGTAGAGATCTAGTATTGATTTATATATATATATATATATATATATATATATATATATATATATATATATATATATATATATATATATATGAGGCATGCATTAATAATATTGATTTACATAGGTAATCATAAATGTAATGAACTTACATTAGGTCACAATGTATGTCCCAGTAACATTTTTGTTTATAAAGTGTAGAAGAATGTGTTTTATTCACGTTTGATGATTTGATATTAAATATCATCCAATATATAATCTTTTAAATACAGAATATCAATCATAGACGCTTATTTTGTACCGAAAGGATGTAGACATTAACAAGACCTATCCAATAACAAAGATTTATCATTCTAGGTGAAGAAGTATGAACGCATACGTTAACAAGAACTTACAGGCAAAGATTATTGCAGAAATTAAAACAGGGCCAGCAAAATATAGAATATTATAGGCACAATATGCTTGTTTTGTTACAAGATTGTGGCAATATAATATCATAGTCACATTATGCTTGTTTTGTTATACGATTGTGGCAATAGAATATTATAGATACAATATGTTTGTTTTGTTATAAGTTAGTGCCAATGGAATATTATAGCAACACTATGCTTGTTTCGTTACAAATTGTGGCAAAAGAATATTATAGCCACAATATTATTGCTTTGTTATAAAATTGTGGCAATAGAATAGTATAACCTCAATATGCTTGTTTTGTTATGAGATTGTGGCAATATAATATTATAGTCACAATACGCTTGTTTTGTTATAAGATTGGGGCAATAGTCTATTATTGCCACAATATGCTTTCTTTGTTATATGATTGTGGCAATATAATATTATAGCCACAAGATAATTGTTCTTTTATAAGATCGTTGCAATAGAATATTATAGTCACAATATGCTTGTCTTGTTATAAGATTGTGGCAATATAATATTATAGCCACAATATGTTTGTTTTGTTGCAAGATTGTGGCAATATAATCTTAGAGCTACAATAAGCTTGTTTTGTTGTAAGACTGTGGCAATAGAAAATTAGAGCCACAATATGCTAGTTTTGTTACAAGTTTGTGGCAATATAATATTATAGCCACAATATGCTAGTTTTGTTATAAGATTGTGGCAATATAATATTATAGCCACAATATGCTTGTTTTGTTATAAGATTCTGGCAATATAATATCATAGCCACAATATGCTTATTTTGTAATAAAATTGTGGCAATAAAATATCATAGCCACAAGATGATTGTTTTGTTATAAGATTGTGGCAATAGAATATTATAGCCACAATATGCTTGTTTTGTCACAAGAATGTGGCAATAGAATATTATAGTCACAATATCATTGTTTTGCTATACAATTGTGGCAATATAATATTATAGCCACAAGATGATTGTTTTGTTATAAGATTGTGGTAATAGAATATTATAGCCACAATGTGCTTATTTTGTAATAAGATTGTGGCAAAGAATATTATAGTCACAATATGCTTGTTTTGTCACAAGAATGTGGCAATATAATATTATAGTCACAATATCATTGTTTTGCTATAAAATTGTGGCAATATAATATTATAACCATAAGACGATTGTTTTGTTATAAAATTGTGGTAATAGAATATTATAGTCACAATATGCTTGATTTGTTATAAGATTTTGGCAATAAAATATTATAGTCACAATATGTTTGTTTTGTTTTAAGATTTTGGAAATAGAATATTACAGCCACAATATGCTTGTTTTGTTAAAAGATTGTGGCAATAGAATATTATAGCCACAATATGCATTTTTAGTTATGAGATTGTGGCAATAGATATATTATAGCAACAATATCCTTGTTTAGTTATAAGATTGTGTCAATATAATATTAATGCAACAATATGTTTGTATCGTTATAATTTGTGGCAAAAGAATATTATAGCAACAATATTCTTGTTTTATTATAAGATTGTGGCAATATTAAAATTATAGCCAAAATATGCTTGTTTTGTTATGAGATTGTGGCAACATAATATTATAGCCACAATATGCTTGTTTTTTTAAAAGATTTTGGCAATATCAGATATGCATATCATCGTCTATTTCGCTATGCTAAAACGAACGGTGTCTGCCAGACCAACATTACACACCCAAGATAAGACGCATGTTAGAGAGGCGTTCAATATGGGCGGCATATCTATATTCTGTCTTGATTTTAATCCTCCAGTTGTGGTTGTGAGCAAATGCAGCTAGAATATATAATTCAAGGTATACAAAGGGAACAAATGTGTTCCGCAACAAGTCCTCGGTCACACTTCTCTGTCTTAAAATGATATCAGCAGGTTTATCTTTTTCTATTTCTCTGACATGAAAAGGGTACAAGTCTCTCTTGTGACAATATGAATTGCAGTGTCGGAGATGCACGTACTATTGCTCTATGTATGTTTAATTCTATGTTTGAGGTACTAAAAATGTCTTGTTTGGTATTCTTCATTCACTAAATGCGATATATTATATTATACGCTTTGCATGTTCTGCTTGAGCAGAGTATTATTAATTTTGTTTGCTTCTTCAATATGACGATAATTAAATTCTTTTGTTCTCAACGTTCCGTGTAAAAAAAATGAATTAAATTTTATAATATGCTCATAGATATGTGAATGTCTTACCATTGTAATCAATAGATGTTCTGTTATGCCTTTAATGTTGCTTTCTATTACATGCATGTAACATTTGTGAGTGAATAGTATTACTATAAGATATATCAGAGATAAAAATAACAATACAATAACAACTCATTGACACATTTCAAGTTGCAATGCCAGTACCTGCTTGGTTAGGCAGTTATTGAACTTCTGGTCACACATGTTACATAGAGGCGTACATTGAGAGTACATGAACGTTTTGCTCTGGTACAAAGTGAGAAGTTAGTCAACCCTGGGGATCTGAAGATATTCATCAGATGTTCTTATTGTAGCTCTGCTAAGCAAACAGCACCAGTGTGTTGTTACATCAAAAGCATGGTAATCTGGTATTGTTTAACATTTCTAGACAAATTATTATTCATTACATCATGCGATTCAGTATCGGAGTGTCAGAAAGAATGAATGCTGAACAGGTAAAACGTTCACAAATCTGTAAAATCATGCTTAACAAAAAGACCAGCCTACATCACAGATTGATAACACTTTACAAGCTTACATATAAATGCCAGTGATGTCTGAGCAGGACCTCATCTTCCCAATAGATTGATAAAAGAACATGTATAAACGCACATACACGCACACAACGTAATACATCGTAACACGCACACAACGTAATACAACGTAACACGCACACAACGGAATACAACATAACAGCACACAACGTAATACAACGTAACGCGCACACAACGTAATACCTCACAAACAACAGATCCCTCTCCATGGTTGATCTCACATTGCTTCTTAGCAGTGAAAACCTCTCCTGCCTGTTGCTTGACATGCTCTTTATATATCTCGTTGTCAAAGTAGCGACCAGGAATATTCACACAAGCCCTGAAATGCGAATTTAATATTAGCGAAAGATGATGCTATATGACCAATAATAAGATATGCTGACAAGAACAACAAATATTTAAATGTATTTTCGATAGTTTTATTACCAGAACTATAATTCAAATATAAATATAATAGACTCGACAATCATTTCAGTTTTATCTAGTATGACTTTAAATATTCTCATTATACTTGGATCATTATTTATGTCTTCTGTCCTGCTTTTGATTGAATTCAGAAACTTTTATTTCATTAGTGTCGAAATTGTAAATTCATTTCGTGTAGATATTTCATGAATACCATAGCCATTAGCATATCACTAAACGTTTCTTGGAACCCACATACAACACCGAGGAGAAAGAAGATATGAATCCTTACAATAATTGTTAGCAATAACCTTCATTCCTTGGTCACAATTTCGTGGGACACATTAAACAATTGATACATTCTGCAAGCAAGGATCTTTATTTCCAAGTATTACGGCGAAACAAAATCAAAACTAAACTTCAGTTTATACGAAAAGAATATTAAAGTAACCCAATTAGTATATGCCTCACTCAGAAAGTATGCAAACAAAGTAAAGCTGCACCAACTTTGACGAGAATTATGTTGTGTTGTGTAAACGTCTTAGAGGCAAATCTGCAGTTCATGTGTTGGACGAATAATTAGGGACTCCTTGGCTAAATTATGTTTATGGCAATGACACTGATTTGACGCAGTCGATGCCTTATGTATTATATTGTAATTTGCATTGGTTTACAATTGGTTTAATAATAAGGTTCGGATCACTTTCAACATTTTCGTGTGTCTTTAGAAGTACTAATTCGAAATTCATCACCTTTAATGCTAGTGATCAATATATCTTCCATTACATATCGTCTTCCTGACATATTGCAAACACGCACGAAAGTAATGTATAAGTGTGGTCGAATTATGTAGAATCGGTAATCAAACAAAGAGACTCTGTCTCTTAAAAGCGGATGGAAACAGAGGTTCAGGAGATATACACCTTA